GCACGCTTGAAATTAAATTTTTCAAACTAAAGATTTCGATGAGGATAAAGAAGGGATTTGTGATTTCCATTTCTTTCTGCGGATAGATTTTGTTTTACTTTATCGCACTGACAATGCGACACTGGTGTTAACGATTTTCTTAATCGTATTTTACAGAGGAAGACTCGCTGCAGGTCGTGGATTCAGATTATACAGACGACGCATTGGAGAATCTGATGCGAGCAGCTCAACAAAAGTGAGTATTTATCATGTTACTATATCCACGTATTTCTATCCTTTCCTGATCCCTCCCCCAATATTTCGTTTCAAATATTTTTATAACACCGGTGACGTAGACTTGCATGGTTCTCGTATTTACTTTAAATTTCAATTTCAACATATCGTGACATGATATTTTCAGTTTTTTTTTTTTTTTTCTAAATTTCCAACTTTTACGCTGCGATCAGCATTCACAAATTCACCACTCTTCGCTGCAAAGTTCGACTTAGAGTTAGAATTACGAAAAGTTTGGAAATTCGTAAGAGAAACCGGAGAACTCGATTGAAGAAATTAAGCGCAGAATTTTAATTCTTTCTAACTTGTCTTACGTGGATCTGATTTTTCAATCAGAGCCTGCTAAAGTTATACGATTCGAAGAGATAACAAGACAATTCAAATTTCCTTTTAGTTTAGTTTCGTACGAAAAATGATGCAGCTCAAAGGTTTCTCTCGCTGTTTGTTAGAGATCTCGAATGTGTTTCGTACATCCTTTCTCATTCACCTTCTCTCGATGTCTCGATGTGACCGGCAGGCATTGTTGAAATACCCCTAATCTCGAGTAGACGTACCTCGTTGATCTACCTGTTTAGGCGTGCCTGCATAAGACGGGGTGGAAGCTGTGACCACCGGCCGAAAGACTGCTGCTACAGTTCCAGTTGCAGATGCAATTTGTGGGGCTCAAATTGTCAGTGCCAACGAATGGGTCTGTTTCAGAAATGGGGCTAAACGGGCTTCACCTCTCTTCCGTCTTCCCCGTCTCGCACACTTCCGGCGAGAAGGTTTCTCCCTTTAGCACCCGACGCGATTATTAACCGTTTCGTTTGCAAGGTTTTCTCATTTCTCGTTTCGAGATCACTTGAAAGAATTTGCAATCTTTTTCATTTCGCCGGCTGCGTTTCGAACGTTTTTACTTGTAGCAAATTCCCTTTTTTTTTTTTTTTTTTTTTTTTTTTTTTTTATCAAAGTCTGTTCGTTTACAGTCGACTAGATTTAGAGAAAGTTTCATTTTGCGACGTGTGCGTGTGTGTGGTGTATGGTTCTTTCGATCATCGATTGAAAATTAGCTGCTCTCCTCTTTAATTGCATTCTC